GCCTCTGGGCCTTGTTACCCACAGATCTCTTTTCTCCGCAGAGTTGCAATGGAATGGAAGAGGAGCAGTCCCTGGGGTGCTGGGCGGAGAAGAGGAAACAGGCCTGGGCAGAGGAAGTGCCTGGGATGGTCCGGGAGGGGGCCAGAGGGCTTGAGAGGGAGGCTGGACTGGAACCAGAGACGGACTCAACCCTTCATCACTGTGCCTGGGCCAGGCCTGACTCAGCAGCATCTGTGTGCGGTGGAGGAAATTGGGGCTTTGGGCAGCCAGGAAGCTCTGGAAGATCCCATGTCGAAGGAAGAACTCAGCTCTCAGCCTCAAACCACCAAGGGAGTCTGGTCTGCAGCAGGCCAGGAGCTGGCGTGAGGGTTTGGGGCCCAGCGGTGCCCTGCATCCAGGGACTCTCGGCCTGAAAGGAAACTTTCCTCTGTTATCTGTGGTTTTCAGTTCTTTCCCCCTTTGGAAGAGGTGGGGGAGAAAAAAAAACAACAATAATCTTCTGTGGGTTTGGGAGGGTACTTGGTCTGGTGGGACCAGAGTAAGCAGAACGAAATGAAGTTTAAGTAATGCGAACGGTTCTGCTTTGTCTGAGTACAGTGACCAGAAAGGGGAGGACAGAGGTGAGCCCAGAGGGGGGACGTCAAGTTGGGTGATCAGACAAATGATCTGTTCAACAAATAGTCACGGCGTCTCTCTAGACAGGACAGAACAGCAGGGTACACAGAACTTGCTTTTCCTTTTTATTGTTTTCCTCCTCATTCTTCTCCATTAGTGACTTTCTTAATAATGAAAGTAGAACATTATATTTTGGAGACATCAAATTATATGGCAGAATATTAAAAAAAAGATGATAATCTCTTCATTCCATCCTCACAAGGAAACCGAAGTTAACAGAATGACAGGCAGCCTTTCTGTCACCTGCTGGAACAGGAAGATTTCTTCCTGTTTTTTTCTTAACTTGTTTGTTTTTGGTTTTTTGGACTTTGTTTTGTTTTGTTTTAGCAACTGACTCCTCTCAGAGGCAATCACATGCGTGTAGAGAAATAGAAATCATCACAGCACAGGTACGAGCTTCCTAGGTGGCTGAGATGGCCGGACCCCTCTGTGCAGTGAGGCCGTGACAGTGCAGGAGATCTGGGAGACGCCAGCAAGAATGAGTGGGGTCTAAAGGTGTAGAGGAGAGCGGCAACTCAGGCTAGTGGTGCTCCCAGTTGCTGTTATTTAAATTCCTTCTTTCTCATAGAAGCTCAGAATTGAAAGGTCTGTAGAGACCGGTGGCCGAGCCCTTGGCAGGTGCAGTCACACGAATGGTTATCCAGCCTCCCTGTGGTTGCCTCCAGGTCCAGAGAACGTGTTTAGGACTCGCTCATGAAGAGCCCCTGCACCTCCACTCTCTATCAACAGGCAACCTGAACTCTTTAAAGTGCTTTTTATATTTTATGTTTATATGTTGTAAAAAATTTGTATGCAATTGCTCTCTTCCCCTCTGTATAGTTTAAGCAACATGAGGCCAGAGGTTGTGCTTTATTTATTTTTGTTGACTAAATAAATAAAAGAATTACTAAAGTAATTCGAGAAAATAAAACCCAACATATCCTAGATCTTCTTATTTGAAGACACTGCATCAGGCATGGAAAAGGATTAAAGCCTGAACTTCTTCCTGGGGCTTCATAGTTTCCTCTGGACGTGCTGATGCATTTGGTGTAAAAACACTTTCAGATATATCATGGCTTAGAAAATACATCATTTACATTTTCACCTTGAAAATTTTTCTTGATGAAACACTCCAGAAAACTGAGAAATGAATGAAAAGGAAAAATTTAAAAATTAAGAAATAGGGTTTTTTTTTTAAGACAACAGACTAGAAACATTTTATGCATGCTACATTCACATAGAAGAAAGAAAACAAGTGTGTAGACAATCACACTTGGAATGCGTTATCCGAGAAGGATCACAGAAGCCCCCCGAAAAGGGACAGGAAACATCAAAAACTGGGAAGAAGAAGGAGAACAAGCAGTCTGGTGGCTGGGACCACCTGGGAGCCCATCGGAGTGAGTGAGTGAGAGACTTTCTGTGGTCCGCTTACCCCCTGAGGAAACTTGCAACCCAGGCCAGAGAGGAGCATCTTGACTCTCCCAAGCCCGGGATCTAATTTTAGGAGCTGCTGGGAGACTGTGAGAAAGACCTGCTCCAGGAAAGAAACGGACCTTGGGGTTGCACAGCCTTCTTATAACCTAAGTGGCTACAACGAGATGCCATCTTTGATTTTAGCTTTTAACAGACTGTGCATTGTGCTGGGGTCCAGCTATATGGGTCCTGGGTGCTAAGGAAATGCACACTGCACTTGTAAAGCTGGACCCCCTCTCTCACCATATACAGAAATCAACTAGTGATGGATTAAAGACTTAAACATAAAACCTGAAACTATTAAAATACTAGAAGAAAACCCAGGGAAAACTCTTGTGGACATTGGTCTGGGCAAAGAATGTATGACTAAGGCCTCAAAAGCACAGACAACAAAAATAAAAATGGACAAATGTGACTTAATTTAACTAAAAAGCTTTTACACAGAAAAAGAAATAATCAACAAAGTGAAGAAACAACTGGTTAAATGAGAGAAATATATTTGCAAAATATTTATTTGACAAGGGACTAATATCCAGAATTTACAAGGAACTCAAACAACTCAACAGCAATACAAAACCCCAAATAATCCCATTAAAAACTGGGCAAAAGGACATGAATTGACATTTTTCAAAAGAAGGCATACAAATGGCATACATGTGAAAAAATGCTCAATATAACTAATTATTAGAGAAATGTCACATTGAGATATTGTCTTACCGCCATCAGAATGGTAATGGTTATTATTAAAATGACAAAAAATAATAGATATTGGCTAGGATGCAGAAAAAAGAGAACTCATACACTGTTGGTGGAAATGTAAATTATTATATCCTCTATGGAAAACAGTACGGAGATTTCTCAAAGAACTATAAATAGAACTACCATTCAAATCAGCAATCCAACTACTGGGTATCTACCCAAAGGAAAAGAAAGAAATCAATGTATCAAAAAGATGCCTGCACTCTTTTGTTTATTGCAGCGCTATTCACAATATGGAATCAACCTAAGAGTCCATCAGTAGATGATTGGATGACGAAAATGTGATATATATACACAATAGCATACTATCCTACTATAAGAAAAGAATGAAATCATGTTTTTTGTAGCAATGTGGATGGAACTGGAGGTCATCATCTTATGTGAAACAAGTCAAGCACAGAAAGACAAATATCACATTTCTTATCCATAAGTGGTTGCTAAAAAATGTGTTCAGATGGACATAGAGAATAAACTGATAGATAATGGGTGAGGGAGTAAAAGGAGGGAGGATGATGAGAAATTGGTTAACGGGTACAATGTACGCAATTTGGGTGACGGATATATAAAAGGCCTAACTTGACCACTACACGATCTATGCATGTAACAAAATTGCACGTGTACTCTAGAAATTTGTACAAATAAAAAAATTTAGGAAATAATGATACATTAGGACTGATGGTTGATATTGAATATGTTAAATACAGAATCATCTCCAAGTAATGAATATGGTTATAAAACAAGCAAATGTTACTTTTTATGTAGAAAATATGCTTTATACAAATACTAATTTATCTGCAGATTATATCAATAAAGATTGGGAGAGGCAAAGTGAGTAGCAAGTAAAGATATTCTAAATTATAAGTATTACATAAGGAGAAGTGATTTATTTTGCTTTGATAATCACAAAAAATAATTCAAATATTATCTTTGGAAAACATAAAGATGACCACTAGTAAATTAAAAACAAGTGTTTGCCTTTCAGGTAAACATTTCTCTGCCTTTTAATGCAGAGAAATGCAAACACAACCTGTATCAGTTTTTGATAGATAAAATAGATCAAAAATAAAGTCAGTGAAAATGCAAACAACAAAAGTAATTACATTTTATTAACACATATGCATAAGTATACATATATGTATATGCATATATATTTGTATCTAATACATGTACATGTATTATATATATATCATATTTTATATATATTTTTGGGGGGTGGGAGGGTATCTGAAAAACAGATCCTATATCTCCTTTTCATGTTTCCAAAGTATGCTCTCAAATACTGTTAATATGCTACCCAGAAAAAAAGCATAATAAATTTATAAAAGCTAATATTATCTCACTAACATTTTCTCACTAATGTATAGTTGATTCATCAATTAATGATGATATTAAAATTTAAAATGTGTAAAACAAGCAACTACAAGTAGTAAAAAGAAACTCTCATATAAAAATATTAGATATAAGAGGAAATCAAAATTGCAATGAGCACTCATTAGAAAATACTGCATTACTAAGCTACTGACCTACGACAAAACATGGCATGACTAAATGTATGGGATGTAGCCAAAGCCTTACTCAGAGGGCAAATTCATAATCTTAGAAGGCTTCCTTTATTAGTAAGAGAGAATGAAAATAACTGGACCAAGTATTCACCTTAATTATTTGGAAAAAATAAGAAAGAGAAAAACAGGAGGAAAGATATAACATAGCAAATACAGAAATCCATGAACTAGGAAACCAAAAAATAAATCCAATAAAGTCAATGACTAAACCTAGGAAATAATCTTTTGGACAAAACCAATCCAACATACACAATTTGAGAAATCTATTAAAATGTGGGTGCTCAACTATTCTAATTATTATTCTCATACTCTCAACTCATTTAAGTTCTCATTACCTCTTTTTCAATATAATTCCAGGAACTCTGATCTTTCTCCTCGGGTCCAATTCCTTAGAGCACTTTCCTAGCTGGCCCCATGGCTTGACTGCCAGACGGCCCCAAGGGAAGCAGCTTACCCAAGAAACAAGATTCACTAACAGCTTTTAATGTTAGCGCCATCTTTGTCTTTGTGGCGGGGCTAGTCTCACACAAGAGATAAACATCACCAAGCACCATGTGTTTCCTTGAGACCAATATCTTCGTCAGTCCTCTGGGTGAGTGTGGCCCCAATTGCAGGTGAGGGTGCATTCACTAGGTACATAAGGTTACATGACTCTCTCAATTCCCTCTCCATAGAATGGGCACTCAATTTTTGAAAGATTGAATCTGTGGCAAAAAGTTGCCTATCTTTGCCTACATCATACTATTTCAATAGATCTGATTCCTTTTATCTGTATGCCAGCACTGAAGTAGAGAAGCATCGGTGTGAAGCAGGAAATTGAAGCAGAGATAAGGAAAGAAGGCGCTCTTTAAATCCCAACCCTTTGTATATGTCAAAACTCTAAATTATGCACACCAAATATGTGCAGCTCTTTGTTTACCAACTATACCTCAATAAAGTTGTTGAAAAGAGAACACAAGGGAATATATCCAAAATACTGGGATATTTCAGAAATGGAAATGAATTAAGCATAATGATTGGTCTAACAAATAAAAAATTCAGGCCGGGCGCGGTGGCTCAAGCCTGTAATCCTAGCACTCTGGGAGGCCGAGGCGGGCGGATTGCTCGAGGTCAGGAGTTCGAAACCAGCCTGAGCAAGAGCAAGACCCCGTCTCTACTATAAATAGAAAGAAATTAATTGGCCAACTAATATATATATATATAATTAGCCAGGCATGGTGGTGCATGCCTGTAGTCCCAGCTACTCGGGAGGCTGAGGCAGCAGGATTGCTTGAGCCCAGGAGTTTGAGGTTGCTGTGAGCTAGGCTGATGCCATGGCACTCACTCTAGCCTGGACAACAAAGCGAGACTCTGTCTCAAAAAAAAAAAAAAAAAATTCAGCCCTCCCTCCAAAGGAATCAAGTAACTAAAAACAGTAAATATAGCTCAAGCGTTGTTCACTGCCCATGCGTTGTGCTCAACACTTCACCTCATTGCTTCTTTAAGCCACAGTATAAAAAAAGCAATCACACTGTGATTTTTAAAAAGCACTATTATTATCCCTACTTTACTTTTGAAGAAACTGAGTTTTAGAGAATCTAAAAGAACTTTTCCAAAGTCACCCAACCAGTGATGGAAAAGGAATTCAAGCCAGGTGTCAGCATCCAGTGTCCAGTGTCCACTCACTCTCCTACCCTGGCTCTACTACCCTGTTTTCCAAAGCAGAGTAGCTTCTGCCCTGACAGAATCACTATTAAGAGTCCCTACCTTCCTTCCACCCCCCTAGGAGGGGGAGATTTATTTGATTGATGAGATAGAGGAGGAGCATGGTCCATTCATCCGTGTTCCTGCTCGATGACAGCCAGCAAAGCTAAGAGTCAGAACACATGGGCCTTCCTCTCCAGCCCCACCCCACCCCAAGGATTCCCTGTCCCCAGATATGGGGAAGGTGCATTTCCCTTGTGGCTGGTAGAATAAGCACCAGCTCTGAAAATCAGACTCAGCCTTGGGCCTGAACATTTCAACTTAAGATGAAGTCTGGGATAGCCAGCCTATTTTGATTTCAGATCCAACATGCTCTCCAGTTCAAGATCACCAGTGAATTCTTGGGTCTAGGTATCAATTAGGGCAGAGCTCTGAAGACAGAGGATATGTGTATTATCAGCCTGAAATTCAGCCACTACCATACACCACAGTGGGCTTCAGCCCATGCTCTTGGCAATAAGAAACTAAATCTTGAGCCTTTTATTTGACACTTTCAAATGCTGAAAACACATACCTTAATATGTGTTGGGGAACCAACTAAATATAACACTACCCTATCAATGCGCAGGAGAGCTATGTTCTAGCGGGACTCTCTGGAAGGTGTCAGTAGGGCCAGGCAGAAGAAAACTCCAGAGTGCAGGAGAAACGCTCACACAGATCTTTCTTGACTTATTCCTAAGTATATGAGGCTCTGTGTCAGCCGATTTGTGCAGTGCCACATAACATCCGCCTCCCTTTGGAGCAGATGAGCTCCAGACATCTTTCCAGCCAAGCAGAGTTCCTGGAATCATGGGCAAAATATCCAGATCACATAAGAGACAAATTCCCTAACGAAGGAATGAGACCTTAAAATTTATCTTAGGATCCTTGCTTATAAACACATGGAACATCATAAAATCATAATTTCAACCCATTTTACTCAAAGGGATGGGTGAGTTGATGTATAAAATTGGGTTTTGACATTTGCTTAACAAGAAACAGATCACTGAAATTAGAAAAGTTTGCAGTGTGATTATTTCTCATTGCTGCTTCTGGCTCCTTTCACAGAGAGATGGGTGTTTCCCGTGACGTGTGATCATGACCTATGACACCGTAGGTCTATCTTGGATGGAAACACCAGGACATGCAGAGGTGTGCACTCTGTATACAGTGGCTAAATTACCTGCTTGTTTTGTCTAATACCACGGGTGCAAATAGGTCTTGACAACTTTATGTTCTTTTTCAAATTTATGACCCTTTAAAAATATTGAGAATTTTAACAACTTGGGTCCATGTTATTCTTAGGAAATACATTGGGATTCATTTACTGTATGTGATTCTTATAAAGTTTCCTCTTCTCTCTTTCTTCCTTCTTCCCTTGTTTCCTTCCTCTTCTTTCCCCCTTCCTTTCCAACTTACCCTCCTCTCTTTCTCCCTTCCTTCATCCCTTCCCTTCTTCCTTCCTCCTCTCTCTTTCATTTTCTGTACTCTTTTATTTCTTTTGTAAACAAAGAATTTGCTCTTTGTCATGCAGTGATAAAGAAGGCAACAATGATCTTGAATTACTGTTCCCATCCAAACTGCATTAGGGTGTAGCACTAACCCTCTGTGATTAGTCCTCTCATAATAAGAAAATTCACAACAGGCCCCATTCTCAGCCTGACAGTCCCCTTGCAGCCCCTCGGGCACTTCACAGTAGAGAACGACCTCCAGAGGGTGACACTCAGCCTCTCATTTCCCTGGAGGGCTTATTTTTGCATATTTCTGACTGCCTGGCCCCTGACCTGTAGGTCATGACTACTGGCTGATGGAACAGGGCTCGAGTTAAATAAATCCAACAGCTGTCTGGCCTATTGTTACATTTGTCCTTGGTTCTTCTGTAAACAGAGAACTTGCTTCTCTAGTAATTCTCTAGTAAGTCTCTCTTTGGATCACTTGGCCCCTTCTCTGATTTCTGAGTTGGTGTGAATGAGCGATGTTAATGGGGAAAGTGGCCACAGATCGAAATGCTATGGAGGCACTAGAAAATACTCTGGAAAAACCCAAAACCTGGGTGGAACTAAAGAACTCTAGCTGGAGAGCCAGGGATGTTCATGGAGCATTCAGGTCCTAACTATGGAGCAACATGATGCTGAGATAAGTCAGTCCTGGCACCTCTGCACTGAGAGCATGCTAACATCCATCTCATCTTTGGAAAGGATCTTAGAAATCATTTAACCTGGTGGTTTCCAAATTTTAGCAACTTGACTTTTTTTTTGAATCTAATTCAGAGTTCCAATTTATAAAACAAAAATAATCAAAGCTGCTCTGAATGAGACCCCAAAAAAGGGGGCTGAAGACTGACTATCTCTGCCTTCTTCCCTCTACCTAATGGCCTCTGAGACACCTCCTCAAAGCTCTCATCCAATCAGCATGGAACAGAGCTAGAAAACCACTGAGAGCCCAGCACACCCCATGACGGGGGTCGCCTCTGCAGTGTCCCTAGCTCAGTCCCACTGATGGTAATTCACAGCAGTTTTCTAGAAGCCAGAACTTTCCCTGAATTCCATGCCCAGAGTGACTTGTCCACCCCTGAAGCCCCTCAAACAAGCTTCCTGTCTGGTCTGCCATGGGACACATTGTCAAATACAGGACCACAGCCAGTATGTCTTCTTGTGGTCTCAACACCTCGTTGTTTGTTTGCACCAGATCGATTGCTCTTTGAAGTCCTGGGTTGTGCCTGTTTTATTGTCATGGTCTCAGACACTAATACAATAGTAAGTAGTAAGCGTTTAATAAATTCTTGTCCTGGGGAAAGTGGTGATAGCTGGGAGATGACGTCTGAATGATTAATAACAATGTAATAACAAAGACTCCAATGATTAAAGTAGGCATTGCATTTAACACTTTCCACATATATCTCAGTTTTGCTAAGCACCTAATAAGCATTATTTACTGTTCAATAGCAGAGGAACCAAGTCTGAGTGGTTAACCGACAAAGCAGGGCCACACAGCTAGTAAGTGGAGGAACTGGCATTTGAATCCAAGCTTATCTCAGCTTTTAACCACAACCATAGACTCTAGTGGCTGAGCCGGGTGTTGACAGATGCTCAGTGGAGACAAGAACTGGGGAGGGAGGAAAGGAAGGGGCCACTGTGTCCGTAAGTGGAGGAATCTGGAGTCACTGTTTGGGGATTTTTCCTGATAGATGCACATCCACCGTCACCACCACCCTGAGCTCCTTTTCTCCTCCTTCCTCCCTTTTCTCTGTTGAATCTCATCCTGACCCAGATTTTTTATTTTCCAACAGTCGATGGGTGGGTACTGTCTGGATTCCTAAAGGGTTTGTGCTACTAGAATATTACCACCCAGAGCTGTCTGCTCTCAAATGACATAACACATCAGCAGCAAGGGAGGCAGGGTGCAGGCTGGAGGGACTGAGATCATAGACACGTGTGTCGATGTATAATACAGCCTCTGGCACACAGCAGGTGGGCAAATGACTCGGTGTTCTCCCTTTTAAAATCACTTCTTGCCTGTTTCCCAGAGCATCCTCTGATTTCATTCTCTAGAAGGTCTTATTTTGTCTAGTAATGATTTGACATTCTTGACTGTCTCTGGAAAAGGATGCCTCCCCGAAGACCCCATTCTTTAAAACTCTACCATCATGAACAGGACAACAAGCTCCCTCCTAGGGCCAACCCCCGCCTGCACTCTGCACTTGCACCTCTCCTCGTCCTCCCCTGACACTTCCTCCTTCTCTGTGGAGCCCAATGTCTGGACATAAGGCTTTCTGTCATTATCAATGGAGTTTCTTGCTTTGGAAGCCACATTGTGAATAAAAGCAGGGCCAGCAAGTGAGATCTGATTTGCTAATCAGACCAAGGGCCAAGGATATGATCGTATCATTGAG